GCAAGCTAGCTCACGAGAAGCTTTAATCTTGAATTAATTAATCAAGAAAATACTAGATCCAATGACAACATTTCACTTCCTTCAGAACTAATGATTTCATGATAAACATTAATTTTTTTTTTTTAGATTTGTGAGCTGAACAGATGGAAGAACAGCAAATTTGTTGTTTTTTCTTGTTTCCGCTGACAAATTTAGTAACAATTTCCAAAAAAAATTCCATATAAATAAAAATGTTAGAGTTTTGTGAATAGAGCTAAAAATGAAAACAAGAAAACTCAATTTAAAAGTAGTTTCTGTTAATAATGATGAACAATAACAATGTCATCATCAACAACAACAAAATGTTTATTCAGTTCAAAAAGTAGCTTCTACAAACAGTGACGAGCAACAACAACAAAGTGTTTATCCAGTTAAATGGTAGTTCTTCTACTAATGATGATAAACAACAACAATATTAATTATACACAAGATTTTATTGACGATCGGCGGGGGGACAAAATTTACTAATTGACGATTTTGTAAAAAATATATATATATAAATTTTCGTGCAACTCATTGAAATAATAATAATAACGTAATATTTATTTAATATTAATATTTAGCAATATAATAATAATAACGTAATATTTATTTAATATTAATATTTAACAATATAATAATGACAATGAATGATTACAAAAAATTTTACATAATAAAAGATATTAAGATATTTTGAGTAAATCTTAATGTGGATAAATTAATTTGTGAAGAATTAAAGAATTAAGAATTAAAAAAGTAAAATGGGGGGTTTTTTAACAAAAACATTTAGTACTACATTGACAACCTATACCGGATCCGCCACATTCACAGTAATATGAATGTTTTTCAAATTCAACAATATTTTCACTATCATCATCACTATCATTATTGCCATTTTCTACAACATTATTATTATTAATCATATAAATTCTTCCATCAAATTCAGCAATGCTTATTCTTTTATTGTTATTTTTGTTATTATTATTTTTAGGAGCGGTTCCTCCTCGTTTATTGCTGTACATTCCTCCTATACTCGTATTTTCAAATTTTTTAACAAAATCTTGATAACTTGCAAATCCTTTATCATCTCCATCTTTATCATTATTTTCTTCGCCGATTCTACCTACTCCTCCTCCATTATTAACAGCAGTATTTGTAAGGATTGAAGTTGTTTTATTCATTAATCCTTTACTAATCAAAACTTGACTGCGTGTTTTTTTTTGTCGTTCCAATTTTTTAGATTTTTTACATGCGACACACAATTCGGTATTTCGATTATTCATATTTGA